GAACATCGGCGGTGGTGCTCTCGAAGTGCTCGGGCGTACTTGTCAAAGGAACATCGGCGGTGGTGCTCTCGAGGTTCTCGGGCGTACTTGTCAGAGGAACATCGGCGGTGGTGCTCTCGAGGCTCTCGGGCGTACTTGTCAGAGGAACATCGGCCGTGGTGCTCTCGAGGTTCTCGGGCGTACTTGTCAGAGGAACATCGGCCGTGGTGCTCTCGAGGCTCTCGGGCGTACTTGTCAAAGGGACATCGGCCGTGGTGCTCTCGAGGCTCTCGGGCGTACTTGTCAAAGGGACATCGGCCGTGGTGCTCTCGAAGTGCTCGGGCGTACTTGTCAAAGGAACATCGGCGGTGGTGCTCTCGAGGCTCTCGAGCGTACTTGTCAAAGGGACATCGGCCGTGGTGCTCTCGAGGCTTTCGGGCGTACTTGTCAAAGGGACATCGGCCGTGGTCATATCAGCACGTATGGTGGGCGAAGAGGTTGTTTTCACATCTTTCACCGTTGTGTCGGCCGCCGTTGTGTCGGCCACTGTCGTGGCGGCCACCGTCGTGTCGGCCACCGTCGTGTCGGCCACCGTCGTTGAAAATGAGTGAGCTGTAGAGCTGATCTTGAGTGTAGCGGACATCGTGCTGCTTGGCAGTGACATTGTGATTGAAGCACTGGTTGATGTAGCTGGAGTTGTTGTAAAGGTGCTTGTCGAAGTCGTAGTAGTCGAGGAACGCGTCGAAGTCGTGGAGGTCGAGGTATCTGTCGAAGTCGTAGTAGTCGAGGTACGTATCGATGTGGTAGTAGCCGAGGAACTTGTCGATGTCGTGGAGGTACTCGTCGTTGTAGTCGAGGTACTCTTCGAAGTCGTTGTAGTCGAGGTACGTATCGATGTGGTAGTAGCCGAAGAACTTGTCGATGTCGTGGAGGTACTCGTCGTTGTAGTCGAGGTACTCGTCGAAGTCGTGGAGGTACTCGTCAAAGTCGTGGAGATACTCGTCGAAGTCGTAGTAGTTGAGGTACTTGTCGAAGTCGTAGTAGTCGAGGTACGTATCGATGTGGTAGTAGCCGAGGAACTTGTCGATGTCGTGGAGGTACTCGTCGTTGTAGTCGAGGTACTCGTCGAAGTCGTGGAGATACTCGTCGAAGTCGTAGTAGTTGAGGTACTTGTCGAAGTCGTTGTAGTCAAGGTACTTGTCGATATGGTAGTAGTCGAGGTACTTGTCGAAGTCGTAGTAGTCGAGGTACGTGTCGAAGTCGTAGTAGTCGAGGTACTTGACGTTGTGGTGGAGGTTGAAGGAGAAGCAGTTGTGGAATTGAGCTGAATGCTAGTTTCAGTTGTCGTATGCAAAAGTTTGCTCGATGTCGTCTCGGCTGTGCTCAGTTCAGCAGTCGTTTCCGCTCCGATGGTACTCTCAGCGGTGCTTGAACCAGGCGTCGTCTCCACCTCGGCCGTGCTCGGTTCAGCGGTCGTCACCCCATCGACAGTAGTAGCACCAGGCGTCGTCTCCACCTCCGCAGTAGTAGCACCAGGTGTTGTCTCGCTCTCGACAGTGCTTGATTCAGCAGTCGTCTCTACCTCGGCCGTGCTCGGCTCAGCAGTCGTATCCCCATTGACAGTAGTAGCACCAGGTGTCGTCTCTCTCTCGACAGTGCTTGATTCAGATGTCGTCGCCACCTCCGCAGTCGTTGCACCAGGTGTCGTCTCCACCTCGGCCGTGCTCGGCTCAGCAGTCGTATCCCCATTGACAGTAGTAGCACCAGGTGTCGTCTCTCTCTCGACAGTGCTTGATTCAGATGTCGTCGCCACCTCCGCAGTAGTAGCACCAGGTGTTGTCTCGCTCTCGACAGTGCTTGATTCAGCAGTCGTCTCCACCTCGGCCGTGCTCGGCTCAGCAGTCGTATCCCCATTGACAGTAGTAGCACCAGGTGTCGTCCTCATACTCTCGACAGTGCTTGAGTTTCACCAGGTGTCGTCTCCACCTCCGCGGTCGTTGCACCAGGTGTCGTCTCCACCTCGGCCGTGCTCGGCTCAGCAGTCGTATCCCCATTGACAGTAGTAGCACCAGGTGTCGTCTCTCTCTCGACAGTGCTTGATTCAGATGTCGTCGCCACCTCCGCAGTCGTTGCACCAGGTGTCGTCTCGCTCTCGACAGTGCTTGATTCAGCAGTCGTCTCCACCTCGGCCGTGCTCGGCTCAGCAGTCGTTTCTACCTCGGCCGTGCTCGGCTCAGCGGTCGTCACCCCATCGACAGTACTTGATTCAGCAGTTGTCTCCACCTCCGCAGTCGTTGCACCAGGTGTCGTCTCACCCTCGACAGTGCTCGGCTCAGCGGTCGTTCCTACGTCGGCCGTGCTCGGCTCAGCGGTCGTTCCTACGTCGGCCGTGCTCGGCTCAGCGGTCGTCACCACATCGACAGTACTTGATTCGGGTGTTGTCTCGCTCTCGACAGTGCTTGATTCAGCAGTCGTTTCCACCTCGACTGTGCTCGGCCCAGCGGTCGTTTCCATCTCGACCGTACTTGATTCAGCGGCCGTCTCGCTCTCGCTGATACTTGAGTCAGCGGTCGTCTTCACTTCGGCGGTACTCTCGACGGTACTTGAACTATGTGTCGTCTCGCTCTCGCCGGTGTTTGCGTCAATGGCTGTTTCCACCACGGTGGTGCTCAATTCGACGGTCGTCTCCACCTGCGCGGTAGTTGCACCAGGTGTCGTCTCCACCTCGGCCGTGCTTGAGTCAATTGTCGTCTTCACTTCGGCGGTGCTTGAACCAGGAGGTGTCGTCCCTATCTCGGCGGTGCTTGAGTCAACTGTTGTTTCCATCTCGGCGGTGCTTGAGTCAACTGTTGTTTCCATCTCGGCGGTGCTCGGGTCAGCAGTCGTTGCCAGCCCGTCAGTCGCTGAATTGGCAGTCATCTGTATTCCGGCGAGGCTGGGCTGTACGGACGGAGCTGCCGTCGATGCCGCAAGCGCACGAGGTGCTCGGTGAAAAGCATCCTCGTTCGCACCCTGAGCGGCAGCAAGCCCAAAGGCCGAGAGTACCAGAAAAAGGATTGCGGTCGTGGCAAAGGACGCCCACTTGCTGTGCTTGCCTGAGACGTGGCTCAGCCCTGCTCTTCTATCCAGAGGTACGCGCTCTAGCAAAAGAAGAAAAAAAATCAACAAGGAAAAGAGTGGAGGCAATCATGAGAGGAGGAGGGAAAGTGGTTGCTTGATGCCAAGACGAGTGGCACAAGAAGCATGACAGCGTGAACATGCGTTTTAAAACCTACCAGCCATTGTGAACATGGATGGGAATGACACGGGCATGGTCCTGGCTCGGTTATTGGCCGGGCTAACCAAATGGCGTGCTCGGGCGCGAGCGCCCAAGCAGTCGAGCCAAAAAAAAAATTGGTAAAGGAGCAGGCGCAAGGACGAAAGGGTAGCAATTGGAGACAGGCAACAGGGGCGTTATGTTCCAGTGCCAGAGGCATGGGCTGGTGGGTGCCTGATCATGAGTCGCCGATGGACGCCAGCGAAGAGCAGAGGTGCCAGAGAGGCGTAAAATGCCGAGGCCGTATTCGAGAGCCGGTGCTGTTTGAGCACCGCCCTCTAAACTTCACCTCGAGGAAGAAGCGTCAAGAAGCAAACGAGAACCACCAAGCACAGCTGAAACCTCACCACAAAAAGGCGAAGCGAGCCCTGATCCACCCGCGGCCGTCGCACGTCCCAGCACAACAGCACCGACAGCCGTCGCCTTCGCTCCGTCGAGGGCGGATGGGTATGTGTGCGTGTGATCGGAAATTCAGATGTTGTTGTTCGAATGTAAAAAAACACTCAAAAAAAATCAAAATTCGAGGCAAAGGCAGAAGATCGACGTCATGTGCGTCAAGTGGGTCAATTGCTAAGATTTTCATGCATGCATGCATCTATAGCGAAAACAATGGCCTCCCTCTC